ATATCTCTTTAACTATGCAAAATCCCTCGACAACATATATACTATTCTGAAAGCTGAGAATCTGCTGAATCTGATGGTAAAAAGAAATTATGGTGTTGCTGAGCAAACTTGAGAGTATTATTAGTTTGAAATGGTACTCTTGATAAATCGCTCAGCTATACAACATGTCTACATTAATTTGACTATATGTAAACGATGCAAAATCGGTCGATAACATGGCCTTCCCTAGACTCACTGAAATACCTTATACGTAGAATCAATCCAGAGAACCATCATATTCGACTGCTCGTTAACAGAATCTTTCTCTTGTGACATCGTTGAAGCAGTCTCATTGTAGTCCTCGACATCCAGAGGTTCTGTTTCTGTTTCGTTCCTCACATCTGTCTGGAATATGCTCTGAACGGCTGAAAATGGCCAACGTTTTCGAATATTCCTTAGAAATCTGACAATTTTTCAGGAATTTAACGCCTTCGGAGTCATGCAATCGAGTCTTACCATCCGTTGTTGCAAGCTCTTCGGTGGTTGTTTGGTACAGAGGAGACTGGGTGACCTGTGCGGCTTTCGAAGAAGCTTCAGTTAAAGTTTCGGTTGTGTCAGTAGTTGATCGTTCAGATGCGNGACCTGTGCGGCTTTCGAAGAAGCTTCAGTTAAAGTTTCGGTTGTGTCAGTAGTTGATCGTTCAGATGCGGGCTGAGTGATGCGAGGACGACTGGATAGATCAATACGGTTCACCAACAATGAGCCGTCATAATCCCACATATCTTCAGTGCTGTTCCTGAAATTGGAAGCTTCGTGTTTCACGCAGACGTGATTCAACGACTGTGAAGAAGACAGGAATGCAAAGCTTGAATGGGTACACGTAAGTAATCGTACCAGGTCAATCTGCCTAAAGACACCTTGAAACTCTTAGGAAAGAGAAATTCTAAGCAGAAATCGAGAAATTAAGCCATATATTTACGTCAGAATCTGTATTATTTGATCGTTGTCATCGCCGGCGACATCTTCAAAACTATTTAAAGGTTCCATTTGTTCGTTTGGCCTGTAAACATTGCTTGTTTTCAGTTCTCAAACACATATGAGAATTTGAAATTTCACGAAATTTTTGAGAGCCAAGCTATGGAAATTTCCGTTCGCAGGTGGCGATGAATTTGAAGGCTGATCAGATTTAACGTCTAGAAACCAAGAAGCCTAACGGTAAACGATCAGAAATCATCAAATATAATCACTAAATCGATGATTTGGTTTGCAGGAAACGCAAAATGCCATTAAACTATAAGAAACTACAAGAGACAT